GGAGAGATATAATCGCCTACATTATGGAAAGAGATACAAGAGAAGATTTAAACTGGCATGTCATAAAATTATATAGTTTTATTCCTACTTAAATATCTGCTGAAATCGACTAATCTTACGAGTAATTCTTGTAATGATTTCAATGCATCTTGCTCTGAGGTTACAAAAAATAAACTGTGTGGCAACACATGCGTCGTTATATTTATTGCCAATGTCAGTAAAAGCAAAAATTCGATAATAAAACAAGAGAGATGTATTAAGTCTGCGAAACAGGGAGCTCAGTGTTCACTTTCTTAGATGTCTCTGCATGAGGCTTAACAATCAATACATAGAAAACATTAGGAATCGTTAACGACAGAAAAGAGACTATTATAAGAAGGAAAAAATAAGCCTCTACGTCGCTATGGAACTATCGATAAGTCACCAAATCACAATTGAAACTAGATCGTCTGTAAGACAATCTATTTTCTGCGTCGATAACCCTTACACTACCCTCTCATATTTTATTCTTCTTCTTATTATTATTATTTCTCTCATCAGCAAATTTCCCTGTCTTAGTTTGGCTACCAACTATTGTTAAAGAACACGTTTTATTCTAATACATAACCAATAGATGGGGACGGGGTTCTTACCTTTTATGTCTATCCCAATGGCCTTTTTGCGAGAGGAACGCAAAAGACTTTTCGCGCCATTAACCGGCTACAAAGGTAAATTTAGTTTAATCTGGAATTAAACTAGTTCAACCACCCGATAAGTCATGAAGCTGTATTTAATTATATAAGCCTGGCGGTCACAAACTTGTCAACATAAGATATATGATAAATGATACAGTGTTGACAGTAGACACAGAAAGGAAATCTAGATTAAAGGAAAGTGTGAAGGAAGAACTAAACATCAAGGGTAAGAGGACGAATTGTATCGTTGTAAGTCAAAAACAATAAATATCCATTAGTTAATCGTATATGTCCTATATCAAGCGGAGTATGGATTCAGTATAAAACAGGTCTGTAGAAATCGCTGGGAACATGTGAAATATAATCCATATTAATCACGACTCATCTTTTTGATACAGTAATATATATATATATATATATATATATATATATATATAATATATATATATATATATATATATATATATATATATATATATATATATATATATATATATAAAGTGAACATAGAAGTCAACCCTTAGAGGCGACAGTCTGTTTCATGCTATATGCAATCGTCAGGCCACGTGTGCTGTTATTTTTCTCGGCTATTTATACATATACGGGTCAGTGGTGCATTGTGGGTAGTCTAATATGGCGGTTATTTTACCGGAAGTCGTTTATTTATTTATTTGGGTTAAATTATTTTACTTGTTTTTATTTAATATTATTTTTTGTTTCTTATTTTATTTATTTATTTACTTATTTTTTAATCGGTGTTTTATTAACGTAGTAAAAATTTGGCTTATATCACTTATTTAATAGTTTTGTTTTTTGTCTATATATATATATATATATATATATATATATATATATATATATATATATATATATATATTGGAAATAAAATTAGGTATATTTTGGCCTAGCGTGTATATTCTAACATAGTCCATTTAATTCCGGGTATATATGCAGGCCTAGCCTAACTCATATTCCGCTTATAAAAGAAGCTGACTCCGGATATACTCTGTGCTTGGGTATACTCTGGGTTGTTAGATTAGGTTTGGTTTGTTTTGTGGCATATCAACCTTAATGGGTTATTTAATGCCGACAAGATTTTTATTGCTGGTAATATTTCTTTTCAAAAATGTATTGCTGGTAATAATTTTTCAACTAATTATTGTTGGTATTAAAACCTATTTTTATACTTTCATAGTGTTTTGACGTCTTTTGGTTAACTATTTGCCTATAGCTGGGACCCTAACAGGTGCTACCACTCTGGATCAGAGTGAACCTGGGAACACTAGCAATTAAGAGTTGGTTCAATTCTCCCCAAAACCTCCTAAGTAGTTGTCAGACGTAGTTTATCGTCTTTCCCAAGACGCAGATGTAGTTTATCTTCATACCCAGGAAGAGTTCGACTAGGATACTTACTGTAAAGTTATATTTTTTTTAATCACTTCACCTCAAACAAGGTGGATGCCACTAGTACGTTACAGAGAGTGAGAGAAAACACTGTGTATAGGGTGATTGGGTGAAGAACAAAATGAACGGGATTCAAGAAGATAGAAGATAGCGATTGACGTTGCATTTAAATGTTAGAAGATTGCAGTTAACCGGGGAGCAAATAAACGGAAGGGAGTTCCACGGGAGGTAAGTGCGAGAAAAGAAGCAGAAGCGGCGGTTGAATTTAGATATTTCAACACTAAGCAGATTAGACCTAGATGCCAATCTAGTAGCACACTTAAATTCATGTAGACGGGAAACCAAGAATAAAAGCTCTTCAAAGCAGTTATCAAGAAAATATCTGTAGAATGGCAGCCACGTCACGTCGGTGAGATGTTGTGTTCTTTTTGGTTCATTTTAAAATATGAAAAGAAATAAACTGGCTCCATTATAGCAAGATATGTAAACTAATATTATTAATATGGAAATTGACTTGATATTCTAATTTTGGTTGGGTTTGATTTGTTTTGTTTTACGGCATATCAACCTCAATGGGTTATTTAACGCCGACAAGATTTTTATTGCTGGTAACTTTCTTTTCCAAGGTATTGTTGGTAATATCTTTTCAAAAATGTATTGCTGACAATATCTTTTTTTTTCAAAAATGTGTTGCTGGCAATATTTTGTTTTCCAGAAATACATTGCTCATTATATTTTTTTTTTAAATATATTGCTGATAATATTTTTCTTTTTCAAAAATGTACTGCTGGTAATACTTTCAAAAAAATATATAGCGGGTACTAAAACTTATTTTTATGCTTTCATAGTTTTTTTGTGGGGGATAGATATTTGCGCATAGCTGGGGCCCTGACATGGGGTACCACCTCGGGTCAGGGTGGACCTGAGAACACCAGTAGTTAAGAGGTGGTTTGATGCTCCTCAAAAACTTCCGATGAAAGGCCTTGCTGTCGGATGTATTCATACCCATGAAGCGGATATAGTTTATTGTCTTACCCAGACAGCGTATGTAGTTTATCCTGATAAACAGGACGGTCTAATTTCGGAGTTTCTGTAAACTATCTTACTGTGAGTAATGGATCAAAGTGTTAAATCAAGGTTTGATATTTTAAGTAATTGAGAAAACATTCTTCCGGTAACCTAAGTTAAAATAACACCGATCGATGTATTATCAGCTGTAGTTTCCGGCTTAGCATGAAATACTTTAGAAACTATGCCTGTGAATAAAATGCTAAGACATTCTACCAGCATTTCAATAGTGTTTCAATTCTTCCTCGGATATCCGTTTATTCGAATCTCATTTCAAATATTTTTCGATGTTGTTTCAATACGTACTGGATTTTTTCCAGAATTTTCACCTAAATACTCAACGATTTTGCCCGTCCCTCTCTATTGTCTCTCCATTCTCTCTCTCTCTCTCTCTCTCTCTCTCTCACTCACTCTTTCTCTCATTTATGGTCTTGTAAATTCTATTCTTTGTATCGACATTCTAGTTTTAACGTATGATCAGCTGCATTAAAATTATTTCGATTTTGAATATATATTTTCCGTTCTGTGTTTGTGCCTTCATCTAGTTTCCGGGTTTGAATATAGAGATGAATCAATATTGCGAAAATTCAATGTATTCTTCGACAAACTGTTAAAATATCCCGGTCCCACCCACTTCACAAAACGATTACAACGATCAAATGCCACAAATCTTTAGTAGCACAGAATTTTCTTTTTATTTTTATGTGTCATATCCTTTTAGGACATAGGCGATCATGGCCCTCCACTTCTTGTTATCCCTTGCAGATCTCAACAAGTTCCTTCCCTTTGCTATATCCGCCATACCTCGTTCTGTCATCCACCTGCCCAATCCCACCAGGCACGTCATGCGCTGCTTTCCCTTGTCTCTCTCTCCCTCTATTCCACTTGTGAGTATCAGATTCTCAAGGCCTTCCTTCCTCATTATATGTCCCAAGAACTTCAACTGACTTTTTCTGATGTTAAGCATGAGACTCCTCCTTGTCTGCATCCTCTCCAACACCTCATCGTTGCTCATACGCTTGGTCGACGAAATCCTCAACATCCTTCTTTAAAATCACATCTCATTTGCCTCGAGTATCTTCTTCATCCTTGTGGAAATCGTCCAGCATTCCCTGCCGTAAAGAAGGACAGAATATGACGTAACAAATAAGTATCCTTTTCTTTGTTACCAAAGAAATCCTCTTGTCTCGCAATACTCTGCCCAGCTTTTGGAATGCGTCCTTGGCCATCCCAATACTTATGAAAATATATAACAGTTGTTTTGAACAGTGGAGTAAATATGGAGAAAAGCTTGTTGCACTGTTCTTGGTCATTGTTCTTGCTCGGATAGAGGATTTTTTCTGCCACCCACACAAATAATTTTTCTCATATTCTGGATATTTTCAGTTATTATTGGTGTTTAATTCTTCTAGTCTCTTTGTAAATTTCTTTGGCGTTTTTAAATTATAAAATTTTCTGAGCTCTCAAAGTCCTAGTATATTTTAAATAGCTCAACTTTGAATTGTTTGTTTGAGGGGTGGCAAGTTGATGAAAGAGCACCTATCATTTTTTCTTAGTTCTCAATCTTTAATTCAGAGCTAATTCTCGCTTGTAGAGAACGACCATTTGATTGATTGATTTGTTTTTTACGGCTTATCAACCATTAGAAACCAGAAGATATTTTTTAGATGGCAAGAATTTTGGGGGGGCATAATAATGATTTATTCACAAAAGTCCTAATTATTAACCCATATTTGGGAGGAGAATATGCGAGTTTATATTTTTCTCAATAGTATTTGCGAATATAACGAGCCCAAATGAATTTGGATCTCGGCTCTTAAAATTCCATTATATCACTCGCAGATCTAACTTAAACCACGTAGAATTCCCAAACTGTCACCCATTTACGTACTGACCAGGCTCAAAGTTGCTTAACTCGGTGATCGTACGAGAACCGGTTTTTCATGGTGATATGGCCGTAAGCTACAGCCACTTGTATTTCATTTTCGGTTAAAAATGACAAATTTTATCTAAAACTCCAGTTATTTTTAATGATCCAATCATCACAAAACAAAAGTGGACTAAAGATTTCTTCGACCGTGACCAAGATTCCAAATTCAGATCAAGTGACCAAACATCAGGTAATTTTTACCCCTTCTTGGTCTGGCTGAGCATTTATCAACTACTCCTCTTATAAAAAGAGGATCTTAAACTTTATTGCTCGTTATTTTCGCTTTTCGAACCTCATTTCCTTCCATTTCAGGTGATTTAAAAAATTAAGGATTTCTTAAGGTTTTCTTGATATTATTGAAAGCATTAAAATAAACACTCGTTGAGAAAGAGGGCAAATATTTTTTTTTTCATATTATTCCATCTGTTTATTTTCTCTGCACGGATGTCCTAAACTCACATTATGTGCGTGTCGACAGGACATCCTTCAGAGCAAGTGTCTTTTGCAATCGTTGCAGCTGTTCCTGACCTGGAGTGCACGCACGTAATGTAATTTTGGTGGATAGGAGAAAAGAGTACTAAACAAACATTTTTTTTCTTATTTTACATTTCTTGCTTTTGACGAGTAGAGATTTTTTTTCATTCATGTCTCGCATAACCAAACAGATTTTCTATTGGCTATTCCGATTAGAATTACAATAAAATTTAAAAAATCTGAAATACAAAATTATTTTCAAAAGGTATTTGATAGAAAAAACTAACAACACGTAACGCATTAAATCGTTTTAATATTAAATTTTCCAATATTGAATTTATAATCTGAATTTCATTTTTTAAGACTGAGTTCAAGGAGTACAAGAGAGATTTTGAAACTTCGGAGGGGCACATGATTTGAACTACTGTTCTGCTATATTGAAATTAACCATCGTTCAGTTGAGAACCACATAAATCGAAAGCGGCCGAGCGAAAAATGTACTCAATATCAAAGATGTACGTGATATCAAAGATGTACTCAATAACAAAGACATACTCAATATCAAAGATGTACGCAATATCAAAGATGTACTCAATGACATAGATATACGCAATATCAAAGATATACTGAGTATCAAAGATGTACTCAATATCAATGATGTACGTGATATCAAAGATGTACTCAATAATAAAAACATACTAAATATCAAAGATGTAAGCAATATCAAAGATGCACTCAATATAAAAAATGTACTCAATATCAAAGATGTACTCAATATCAAAGATGAAATGCAATATCAAAGATGTATTCAATATTAAATATGTACTCAATATTAAAGATATATTCAACGTCAATTATGTACGCAACGTTAATATGTACGCAATATCAAAGATGTAAACAATATCAAAGATGTACTCAATAACAAAGACATACGCAATATCAAAGATGTACTGAGTATCAAAGATGTACTCAATATCAAAGATTTACGCAATATGAAACATGTACTTAAAAATAAAAACATACTAAATATCAAAGATATACTCAATATCAAAGATGTAAGCAATATCAAAGATGAAAATCAATATCAAAGATGTATTCCATATTAAATATGTACTCAATATTAAAGATATATTCAACGTCAATTATGTACGCAACGTTAATATGTACGCAATATCAAAGATGTAAACAATATCACCAGCAAGATCAATAAAGCTATTTTTCAGAATGAGATACCGAAAGTTACATGTGAATCTGCAAATAAAAATAATAATATAATATTTTAGATACTCCTAAATCTCCAGCAGTCAGTTAAATAAGTGAGTAAACTAGACACTTTTGTGGGTCAGTGGGAAGAATATTAGAATGATCCATAACATATACTGAGATCAAACCGTCTGTATATAGACATACAATGAATTCAGTATATGTACTTAAACAGAAGGGATCGTAGAACAAGGACGTATATTCTTACTATTACAGTGAGATGATTCTGACAGAGACTTAACAGTAATCATTAATGACGGCCACAATCTTTAAAAAAATAGATATATAGGTGACATTAATAGCAGACAAAGAGAGGGAAATGCAGGAACTCTTACAGAAGGTAGTAAAGAAAAAAAAAAGATTGATGATCAATTATAAGAAGACAGAATGGACAGAGGACGGAAAATACCACACCGAAATCCAAAATCTCAAAAGATGTCTTCTAAAAGCTAAGCAAAGTATTATGAAACATGACAATCCTGTTAGAGATAAAGAAAATTGTGCTTAAATATTATGTAATATCGGTCCTTTTATATGAATCCTGGACAATCACCTCACAGATGAAGAAGAGACTAGATGCAACAGAAATGTTTTTTTAGAGAAAATAGAAACAAAAAGGACATTTATATTTAAAATCGGAAAGATGCCGTTGTGTCAGGGAACATAATGAGGACAGACGGCTTAGAAAATTTGACACTGACGGGACATATTGAAGGGAAGATGGACAGAGGAAAGTAGGAATTAACCTACCTGACGAGCATGTGTAAAGGGTTGGCAAGATAAGTAGAGATAGAAAAAAGAAAAAAAAATACTAGCTGCTAAAAAAAACATAAGATTGTGGTGAGCTAGGATCACCCATGAGCTGAAAACACACTGTATATAGAAAGAAAAGAAAAAGAAGACTTGAATGAATATAATTTCATCCAGTTTAGCTTGTCTATTATTATCGATATTTCTTGTCTGGCAGACTTGGTCATAAATATTAAGGACCTATGGTCAACCATTGCGCTATTCGTCACGGGTGGCAACTATTGTCCGGTATTCACGGTGCATATGTGGCACCGTAGATGGAGGGATTTGAAATTTCAGAAATGGAGTGTCCTATTTGTCAAAATCTATTATAATGTCCTCCTAGATATACGATAATTTATGTCACCTTCCTCTGAGTTGATTATTAGTCGATCATACCAACTTGTCAAATCATAGGGTACAACTTATACATGTCTATGCATTGTCATTCTGTTAAAGTACTGTGACACTACCTAACGTTACCTTTATATACGTATAATCGTCGAAGTTTGGAACATCAGGGTTTACATCATCCTATTGTATTATACTTTCTAAATAAAGTTGGCGTTATTTCTATTGAGGATTCTCTTGAAATATTGCATTTAAATTGACCTCAAATGACATATTCGCGTTGTTAGACGTCTTCAAAAACTTAGTAACGCCCTTTTCTAATGAACTATGTCAGAGTGGAACATTTTAAGGGAAGCATTACTCCCGTCCGGGAAAGAGATCACAATCAAAAAGGGAGAAAAAGTGGATGGCAGATGAGATTCTCGTCTTGATGAAAAAAGTCAGTAACTTATACGAAAATACAGATATTTGAAACAAAAGGCACACGCAAAAGAGGTATGACTCAAGAAAAATTGTGCATATATAGAAGTAATAAGCGTCGCCGATACTACGGTTATGCATAAAATAGTAAAAGAAATAGCAGGAAATAAAGACGTGCTCCTCAACATGAATCAAATGAACGTTGAGAATAGAAAAAAGATAAATACTTCAGAGATGGAATGAATGCGTCAGAGAACTCTTCCTCGATGAGAGGAGTGAAACCTATAACTCAAAAATAATATTCTAGGAAATGAAATATTCAAGACTGGGCTAAGTTTGGTAGTGGCCAATATGAAGAAAACAGAAGGACCAGAGGGGATTGTAATAGACATAATTTCAAATTTAGATCAATTGGGGATTGGCAAGATTATGGAAATAATAAATGAAGTAGTAAGAGTTATGTCCCCTGTATTGTTAAGTTAAAGAAGAAAAAAAACGAAGTAATATTCCCATGATGCACTAGAAAGAAAGTTTTAGCGCGAAAATACAAAACAAAACGCTATCTCTCTTTAACTACCAACTGTTGGTCCAGAAATACGTGTTTTCTTAAATAAACTCAAAGGAAAGATATCTGTAAAGCCTAAAACCAATTCATTTTTTGCATTCATAGATAGAAATCAACACACACACACACACACACACACACACACACACATATATATATATATATATATATATATATATATATATATATATATATAGTCCTGTAATAATATGAATCAATTATGTTTAATCAAAAGTTAATCATTTAATAAACATGTTATATCTAGTTTGCAGTTACGCCAAAAAATTGTTCATATTTTATTACATATTTTCATGGAATATTTCACACGGATGTTAATTTAACCTGTTGTGGACAGGTGATATACACCAAGATGAAAATAATAAAACAAAGAATGAGGACTCATATCATTCACAACTCCACAACAGAAGTATACGACACTGGTGACATACCGGAAGAAAATAGAAAGGTATTTTCATAACTCTTCATCAGAATCATGGTGCGAACTCGATTGGAATATCAGTTGAATGAGCCAAATAAAGAAGTTTCGTTTTAAGTTTTAAGTTTTATTCATCCGGATTATGTTCGTGCATTAGAATTAAACCGGAAACAGAATAAGAACACTGTGGCTTCAATAAAGATACGAGTATAAGAAATACGAAACAAAGCGAGCTATTCAAAATACTTAAGCACGTATATATATATATATATATATATATATATATATATATATTATTGTGTATTAATTCATTTGTTTAAACTTTATTTTTTTAAAAGGATACTTATATTTGAATAGATGCTCCGTATTTTTTATTTATTAAAAAGTATATTTATTTATTTACATCTATTCGACAAATCTTGTTAGATAAATATGCCAGGGAAAGCATAACATTTTACCAAGTATTTACTTTCTTACTTTAATAATAATATAACATAAACAACAAATACAACGTAAGAATAATATATTTTAATAACTAATATAACATAAATATTGTAATTTAATTATTAAAATTTAATTTTTATAATTATTAATTAATAATATAATACAAAATATCTTCAATACAAACCATATATAGAAAAAAATTGATGAACGTGCGCGTGTAAAAAAGGCAACAAAGCGGATTAAGAAAGACGCGAAAAAAACTTGAAATATACTGACCCATTGAAGAATG